AATACTGTATTATTAGAAAGCATCAGTGCCTTCTTTCTGCATTATAAGGCTTTCTTAATAATACAAAATCGAGGACATTGCTGGAAAAAAAAGAGATTTCTTGAAAATGCTGGATATTTTGGGAAACATAATTTCATGTGAAATATTGAACTTGTGCAGGAACATCAATAACCACCTAAGTTCAGTAGTATCAGCAGGAAGAAAATAAAGACAATCCCCATATCTTTAAATTATATATTAACCACTTCAAGCACGACTTTGACGTCTGGGCGGGACTTTCATCATTCCAGGTGAATGTCATATGTAGTCCTTCTGGAACAAGCCTCGCATGCCATCGTGGGGCCATGCTGTGACACAGCTGATGACTGATCACTGACAAATCAAAGCAGATCACATGACAGTTGTAAACAATGAATGGCTTTGATTCATTACAAATAGAAACAAACTCTCCTGCGCTCTAAGACCCAAAGGAGGTGGATGGATGGAATCAGAACTTGAAAAAATTCTACCACCTTTGCATATGGGGTTGTGCAGCTCCAAACAAGGCTGGGGAAGCCCGACTAATACTGTGAAGCAATGACAAAAAAAGAAGAGCACCAACCTTGCGCATTACCTCAGTAAACCAATTTTATTGAATACAAAAATATACTCACAAACAAAGAAGTATTTCAAGCATGTCAGTTCTCAAAGGGAACTATGGAATGGTAAGACCTGCGTGAGTCCCATCATAGGGGTGGACACTCAGGGATCAGTTGACGTGTTTCGAAGGATGTTCCTTCTTCATCAGAGTTCTGATGAAGAAGGAACATCCTTCGAAATGATTCAGACAACGATTTGTCTTTGATAAAATTGGTTTACTGAGGTAATACACAAGGTTGGTGCGCTTCTTTTTTGTCTTTGATTCATTACATTCATTGTTACAATTGTGTTGTTAGCTGTGATTGCTCACAGTAGTCACATGGTACAGACAGGGTCAATCACAGCCCATCTGCACTGTGTGATTAGCTGTGGCCAGTCACAGCTAATCACAACAAAACAAACTGAATGAATTGATTTCATTCAGTAAAATGCTTGCTCATAGCAGTGAAATTCACTGCTATAAGCAATCATAATGTGTAAAAAAAATACTGATCACTTACCCAGAGTAGTACAATGTACTATGGTAAAAAAAAAAAAATCATGAAAACAAGAAAAAAATGTATAAACATATAAAAATTTAAAAAAGAATGAAACGTCAGTGTCCCTGATCACCGCCACACCAGTTATGTGATGATGCTGTACTGCACTGGTGACAGTATGTAAAAAAAAAAGAGACTTTTTTAATTTATTTCTTAATTTGCATAAAAATTTGGACAAAAAATTACAACTTCAAAAATCTCGTCATGCTTCTTACTAAATACCTTGACCTGTATTCTTTCAAAAATTTGCCATTTGGGTGATATCTGTACTGTCCTAACATTTTTAGGTCTCAAGAAATGAGCTGTCAGTACATCAGGATCGATCAATTTTCAGATATACAGTTGTGGCCAAAATTATTCAACCCCCCACTGAAATTGAGTGTTTTGGCCAGTTTGACATTGCTTTTGATCATTCAGTCATCTTGCTTACATTTACATTAAAGAGGCACATTGTAGGTCAGACAAATATAACATAACAGTTATAATGAAATAACCACAAATGTCTTTTCTGTGCTCACAGCATTATCAGTTTTATTCAACCCCCAAGTGACATTCAATCTTAGTACTTAGTACAGCATCCTTTTACAGTTATAACAGCTTTTTAAACGTGAAGCATAGCTTGACACAAGTGTCTTGCAGCGATCTAGGGGTATCTTCGCCCATTCTTCATGGGCAAAGGCCTCCAGTTCAGTCACATTCTTAGGCTTGCGCACTGCAACTGCTTTCTTTAAGTCCCACCAGAGGTTCTCAATCGGATTTAAGTCTGGTGACTGCGATGGCCACTCCAAAATGTTCCAGCCTTTCCTCTGCAACCATGCTCTAGTGGACTTGGAGGTATGCTTGGGATCATTGTCCTGTTGAAAGGTCCAACGTCTCCCAAGCCTCAGGTGTGTGACGGACTGCATCACGTTTCCATCCAATATCTCCTGGTACTGAAGAGAATTCATGGTACCTTGCACACGCTGAAGCTTCCTGTACCTGCAGAAGCAAAACAGCCCCAAAGCATGATTGACCCTCCACCATGCTTCACAGTAGGCAAGGTGTTCTTTCATCATAGGCCTTGTTCTTCCTCCTCCAAACATAGCGTTGATCCATGGGCCCAAACAGTTCTAATTTTGTTTCATCAGTCCACAGAACACTATCCCACAACTTTTGTGGTTTGTCCACATGGCTTTTGGCATACTGCAGTCGACTCTTCTTATTCTTTGGAGACAGCAAGGGGGTACGCCTGGGAGTTCTGGCACGGAGGCCTTCATTACGCAGTGTGCGTCTTATTGTCTGGGCTGAAACTTCTGTACCCAATCTGACAAATCTTTTCTCAGTTCCTCAGCAGTCACACGGGGACTTCTCTCCACTCTACGCTTCAGGTAGCGCACAGCAGTCGAAGTCAGCATCTTCTTTCTGCCACGACCAGGTAGCGTTTTCAACAGTGCCCTTTGCCTTGAATTTGCGAATGATGCTTCCTAAGGTGTCTCTTGGTATGTTTAACATCTTTGCAATCTTCTTATAGCCATTGCCCTTCCTGTGAAGAGAAATCACCTCTTCTCTTGTCTTCCTGGACCATTCTCTTGCCTTCACCATGTTTGTAAACCACACCAGTAAATGTCTAGAAGGAGCTGAGTATCACAGTCATTTTAAAGCTGCCTAATTGGTGCTTATTATGCTTGATTGCTGCTCGGTGACATCCACAGGTGTTTTCAATACCTGATGGAAAGCACCTGTATGAACCTCTGTTCTTCAGAGTGGTAGTCTTTAAGGGGTTGAATAATTGTGGCAATGAAGAAACCACATAAGAACCATTTACTACTGTATTACATAAACAATTGATGTCATTTTAGTTGCATTTGGGTAGTTACAACGTCCTTGTAGGATTTGATTCTGAATACAATTCCAAATGTACACTATAGTCCCTAAACCCCTTTACAGCATTGGGGGTTGAATAATTTTGGCCACAACTGTATAACATAGTTTTTTGGACTATAACCTTCCTACAGACTAAATATTATGCACTGATTTGGGTTATTTTCAGTAAAGAAATGTAGCAGAAATGGCCTAACTTTTTGAAGAACAATTGTTTATTTGCAAAATTTTATAACAGAAACAAAGAAAAAACGCTTTCTGTTCAAAATTCTTTTTTCTTTAATTTCAAAAAATTAAATCTCAGTGGTGACTAAATACCAACAAAAGAAAGCTCTATTTGTGTGAAAAAAATGATGAAAATTGAGTTTGTGTACAGCATTGCATGATCCTGCAATTGTCATTCAAAGTGCGAGAGCGCTGAAAGCTGAACATTGGCCTGGGCAGGAAGGGGGTAAAAGTGCCCGGTATTGAAGTGGCTAAAAAAGTAAACATTTTTACAATAGTAAAAAAAAATAGACCTAGATCACCAAGCTGTAAAGATCTTTGTTTGTTTATAAAACCACTGTTATTTTTAGCAATGATGTCAAAGGTGATTGCAAAAAAGGCTAAAAATATTAATTGTTATGGTAAATAATATAAGGCTTACATTGAAATAGGCCCTGCATTGTTTTTAGTAGTCAGCACTGTAGAAAATGTATGAGGTTACTGAAGCTATGGATCAGGGTGCAGAGTCCAGAAGCATATGAGCAACATGGACACGGAGGAAAGCTGACAAGCAGTGGATTTAATCAAGATACCATAGACATAGCTGTTATGGGCACATTGTCAGCTTTCCTCATTGAGCCCTTACTGCTCACATGCATATTAGCTTTACAAAATGAATTTTCAGTTTGCAAAGTCATCTTCTTCTTAGTTTAGTGAATAAGGTGGAGCTGTGCTGACTTCAATAATTCAATCATGTGCAAAGAAAAAAAAATATTTTTGTTTGCATAAGATTGGGTATATTCTGAAAAGTGAATTTTCACTTAGTTGTACCTTATGGAAGAAAAATATATTTGAAATATATTTTAAAAACATTCTGCCCAAATATATAGATATATATTTGAAATGCTAAAATTTTGGCATTATTCAATATATTTCAAAATAGATTTATATATATATATATATATATATATATATATATATATATACATACACTGCACGTTGAAATGCGTTTTTTATATATTACAAAATATATGAAAAAATATTTTTAAAAATATATATTTAACTATATCCTTCAGATTTTTTTAACATATAAAAGTTGTTTTAACATATAGTTTTACATATATTTGTAAATGCATTCCAAAAATGTAGATTTGTATTTTTTTAAAGACATACAGTATAATTGAAAATGTATTTTTAAAAATATGTTTCATATATTTTGTAATAAAAACGCATTTCAACATACAGTATATATATATTATAAATTTTTTTTTTTTTTTTTTAAAAAATATATTGAATATGGCCAAAGTTGTAGTATTTCAAATATACGTCTCAATATTTTTGAAGAATATTTTTAAAATATATTTCAAATATATTTTTCTTCCATGTGGGTCACTAAGACAATTCACTTTACAAATGTACAAAGTGAATAGGCTGTACTCCTTTAGTGCAAAAATGTGCTATTGTCTGTGCTTCCCCTGCAAATAGGCATCTATCAAAAAAACCTTAACCTACAAGTTTATAAAGATTATAAGATACTAATACAGGAAGCGCTTCTAAATCCAAAAATGATATCTAAACTCACAATCATAATACACCATACTTTAGATGCCAAAATTATAGCTATAACTCTTTGCAAGGTAGATATTTTCTAATATAAACAATGTATCGCAGCTGTTCTCAGTTTTATAAAATATATAATTCAATTCTCCAGAAGTTCAGCCATCTCTCTAATTAAAGTATATATCATTTAAAGTGTTACTAACCCCACAACAGTAAAATCAGTCTGTATATGCAGTAAAGCGTGCTTGTTATACTCACTGTGGAACCTAAGGAGTTAATCCTCTGCATTATGTAAAAAGGTTCTTTGATCTTGACTTCTCTACTCCTCCTCTTGTTCAAATGTCTGCATCTTATCTCCTGATAAGACAGACTGAACCGTAGCCATTCTGCACATGCTCAGTTTGGTGTGTATTGCTAGAGAGTTTTTTTTCCTTAGGAGAGTGCATGTGATCAGCACTCTCCTACTGAAAAGACATAGGTCAGAGGTTTTGCATCCTCCTAGAGCAGAAAGAAAAACTCCTCCTGCAAGCTTTAACCAGTGCTCTGTTGAAAATTGATAGAAGTCACAAGACTTCTCTAATTGCTGATGAGAAAATGCATTTAGCAGTTTATAGTTACTAAAATAATTGCACTTCCATGTTCTGCGTACTGTGGAAGACCAGATATAGTGATTGCAGGGTCCTGGGTTTAGTAACATGTTAATGATGGATGTAACACAATGCCCAGCCAGCATATATGAACACAACCAGCACTGTTATCTGCAGGTAGATGGCTAGCACTAAGGACTCATTTGCACATGCAGCCAGGAATTCTGCTGCTATGAAAACTTATCCATGCTCCTATTGCATTTCAGAGGTGTTTGACAGGCACATGAGGAAGAGATATGCCCCCTTCTCACTGCCTGTTTTGACCCCCAAGATTCCACACCATCACGCTGCAGCCGGTTGCTGGGAGGTTGCAGTGTGGCCCCATCCATTTGAATGAGTCATGTTTGGTAAGAGGTAGTGTCCTCTGAGTGTGACGGGGTGTTTAAATCCTGCCATGGTTGTGAAGCAAAGCATGTGTACAGCTTTTGGGTGAGTGATCGATGCCAAAAAAAAATGCTGCCATTTCAGCATCTTTTATTTGTCTGCCTTCCAAGCCTCACTCTGGGAACTCTTCTCATCAGGACCACACACTCTGAACTGCAGGAGGCTTTTCACCACCAACAGTACTGCTCCCTGTCTCCACCATCAGGGGTGCTTGGAAGGAAATTGTGCAAGAGGCCACCCTCATCATCTTTACCCTCTTGAGAACGAAACCTAATTTTTTCCTTGTACAAATCATTAGTAAGACTTCAAAAGTCCAGGTCAGTAACATGAATCAGTAGCAGACATAAGCAGGCAAGGGGAATTCAAAGAAGAGTGAGATGAAGCCGTGTCAGTAACAGGATCAAGTAGGCTATCAGGAACACAAGTCACAAGGCAAAGCTGAAGATCATCCAGCAATGATACTAGGCATGCCTCTGCTTTAAATAGGACACCAGGCAGCAGAATCTGTTGGTACAGTCATGCGTGTACAAGTTCACCTGTGCTTGCACATGTTCACCCATGCGTGGTGCCCATTCTTTCTAGCCCAGTTATACATCTGTGCTCATGAGCACAAACACATTGTAAAACACATTGTATGCTCTATGGAAATGAGCACAGTGGGCCTTAGGTTCCTGGTACTCTTTTAATACAAGAAAGAATTTTACATAGTTGGTAAGGCTGAATAAAGACACCGGTCCATCTAGTTCAATCTGTGTGTGTGGGTGTGTGTATGTGTGTGTTTATGTCAATGTGAGTTCCCGTATCCCTATACAGTATATTGCATTCACTAAGATGCCCATCAAGGAGGTTTTTTTTTAAGCTATCGACACTTCCCGCTGACACCACTGATTGTGGAAGGGTGTTTCACATCATTACTGCTCTAACAATAAAGGACCCTTATGAAGTTTAAGGTTGAACTGCTTCACCTCCAATTTCTTTGAGAGGCCGCATATCTTCTTAAGTTTTCTCTCTATGCTAAGATCACCAATGGGATACTTGTATATTGCTATCACATCTCCTCTCAAGAGTTACTTCTCCAAGGAGAATAGGTTTAGTGTTTGTAGTCGTTCCTCAAAAAAAAAGCCCCTCCAGTCCCTTTATTGGCTTTGTTGCCCTTCTCTGGACTCTCTCCAGCTCCAGCACATCCTTTCTGGGGATTGGTGTCCAGATTTGGATGGCATACGCAAGTTGTGCTCGAACTAGAGTTTTCTAAAATGGTAGAATTATAGTCTTATTAGTCTTATCTCTTGAGTAAATACCCTTTTCAATGCATGCTAACATTCTGCTTGCTTTGCTTACTGCAGCTTAGTATTGCATGCCATTGATGAGCCTGTGATCTACTAAGACCCCAGATCTTTTTCCATCCTGGAATTCTTGAATGGTTCTCCTCCTATCAAGTAACTTGCATTCATATTTTTGGGCCTGAAGTGCGTTACTTTACATTTTTCAACATTAAACCTCATTTGCCATGTAGTTTCCCACCCCTTTATTTGATTGAGGTCTTCCTGTAAGATTTATAGATCCTGCTGTGAAGTTATTGTCCTGCTTAGCTTTGTTTCATCAGAAAACACTGAGATTGAGCTATTTATGCTTGCCTCTATATCATTTATGAATAAACTGAACATAATTGACCCTAGAACAGAGACCTGGGGTTCCCATTTACCATTCTAGACCAGACCATTCTGACTACTTGCTATTTATCACCACCCTTTGGATGTGCCCCTGTAACCAGTTTTTTTATCCAGGTACCTACACTATGGTCTAAGCCCGCCGCGGACATTTATCAGGTCAAGAGAGCTCAGCAGGGAACGGGCGGAAGGCAGGAGGGTGGGATCAGCAATTCTAGAACAGGGGAAGGTGGGCTCGGCTTATGAACCTGCACCACTCACCTGGTCTCTCTGCAGCCAGCCGGCCATCTATTCTGATCAGTGCATGCAACTGTCACGGCCAGAGGGCAGAGCCTAGAGCTGACCATGAAGAGGGGGAGCAAGAGAGGAGACTCCATCGCTGCATGTTGGGTATCACAGCCACGGACCCTAGATAAGTGCAATAGATGATCGATCTCCTCCCTCTCTCTCTTTCCCCCCTCTCTCCTCTCTCCCTCTCCCCCCTTCCTCTCTCTCTCTCTCCCCCTCCTCTCTCTCTCACCCCCTCCTCTCTTTCTCTCCCCCCCTCCTCTCTCTCTCCCCTTCTTATCTCCCCCCCCCTCTCTTACATTGTACACAGATCTGACCCAACAAGGTGTCCTGCATTTACCGTATATTTCACTCCATAAGACACACTTGGGGGAAAATGTCTGTTTGTCTTATGGAGCGGCCGGCCCAGTATTCCCGCCGCCGTTGCATGTCTGCAGTCTCTGGTCATCTCATGTACTATGTCCGCAATCTCTGGTCATCTCCTGTACTGTGTCCGCATTTGTTCATAGTTTTTTTTTTAAACTATAGTCCGGCCCTCCAACGGTCTGAGGGACAGTGAACTGGCCCCCTGTTTAAAAAGTTTGAGGACCCCTGGTCTAAGCCAACAGACTTCAATTTGTAAACTAGGCATTTATGGGGTATAATAACTGTATCAAATGTTTTGCAAATTCCAGATATACAGTACCACATCCACAAGCCTTCCCTTATCTAAATGGCATTGCACTTCCTCGTAGAATGTTAGCAGGTCTGGCAAGAACAATCTTTCATACTTCTATGCTGATTACTACAAATGGTAATGTTTTCAAGTGAAAATTCTTGGAATAAAGTTCTTTAGCATCCTCTCTAATAGTTTACAAACTATAGATGTTAGAGAGACTGGCCTGCAGTTTCCAGGTATATATCTTTGTCCTCTTTTAAATATTGATACCTCACATGCCTTTCACCAATCAGCTGGTACCATTCCAATCCTTAAGCTGTTCATAAAAATGAATGTAAGTCATATGGTCCTGGTGATTTTTTTGCATTAGGTTTTTCAAGTCTATTCTGTTAGCCACAAGGGTACATCCTATGTTGTGTTAGTAACGATGCAGTCATGGTTGTTATACCCCTCATTTTCTTTTGTAAAAACTGAGGAAAAGAATGCATTTGGTACAGTTGCCTTCTCATTTGTAACCTACTTCCTCTGATCATCTTTAATGAGGCCTATATCCTCTGACCTCTGACCTCGTGTTCTTACTGTTACTATATTTAATAAATAACTTTTTTTTTATTCTCCTCCACTATGTGCCTCTTGTAGTTTATCTTAGCTGCCCTAATTGCACTCTTACACTTCTTATTGCAATCTTTGTAGTCTTGGAATGCCAACAATGACCCCTTGGCCTTGTATTTTTTAAAGGCTATTACTTTCTCTTTAATAAACCTTTTTAGGCTGAAGTTTTACCACCCAGGTTTAATCTTAGCTCTCTCATGTTTGCTGCTCATTTAAATGCACTAGCTAAAACCTTTATTTATTATTTTCTTAAAAGCACTCCCATTTTTTTCAGTGTTTAATGTCTCTAGGATTTGATTCCATTTAATATCTTGTGGTACGGAGCACAGTTTATAAAAGTTGTCTCTTTTGAAATTTAGTATTATTTCACTACCTTCGTGCCTCCTTTTTCTATGATTTACTTTGAAAGTAATTACCCTGTGATCGCAAGTTGTCCCTTATTTCCACATCTGTGATCCGATGTTATTTGTAATAAGTGGATTTAGCAGAGGATTATTTTTCTAGTTGGGACATCCACCATCTGACACATAACATTGTCCTGCAAGACATCTAGGAAATGAGTGAGCAGTGCCTTCTGCCCAGTCAATGTCTGGATAGTTGAAATCCCCCATTATGATAATATTGCCTAGTCTCGCTGCCACTCCTAGCTGTGACAGGAGGTCAGACTCCTCCTCATCCTTCAAGTTAGAGAGGCTGCAGCATATAGCCACCATTATTTTCCCATGTCTATCTGCCCTTTGAAGCTCCAGCCACATGGATTCCACCTCCTCCCTTGCCCCATTAGCTATGTCATCCCTCAGGTTCACTATTAAATCATCCTTGATATACAGGCACACCCCTCCCCCTCTTATACCCTTCCTTTCCCTCCGATACAAGGAGTACCTCTGGACAGTTGCTAGTTAGTCATGTGAGCTGTCAAACCAAGTTTCTTATATTCTCACAAAGTCTAGCATTTGTGTACAGTACATGCCTTTTAGTATTATAGGAGCTCATGTTAGTTTATCCTTAGATGATCTGCAATTGTGCTCTCCTATGGTTTCGTTATACTGGTTATACTACCACTAATGCTCCTGGTGGCATTCTCCAACCATTGCTTACTTTCTCATCCTCTGAACTACAGGACTAAGCCTCAACTCATGCAATGGGGTACGTGACTATAAGCCATGTCTGATAAGCGTCATAATATCCCTACACAGGTGCACACCCAGACCCACCCCATTGCCAATCTGTAGCTGAGGCCGGAAGTTCT